CAACTTGACCTTATAGACATCTACAGAGCACTTCACCCAACAACAGCACAATATACATTCTTTTCCAGTGCAAATGGAACATTCTCCAGAATAGATGATATGTTAGGCCACAAAGCAAGCCTCAAAAAATTTAAAAACACTGAAATACTGCAATCTCAGTATCACAATGCTGTAAAATTAGAAATCAACAATAGGAAGAGCAACAGAAAAAGAGTAAAGACTTGGAAACTGCATTAACATCCTCCTTAAAAATGACCAGGTAAAAGAAGAAATAAAAAATGAAATGAAAAAATTTCTTGAATCAAATGAGAATGAAAACAAAACATACCAAAATCTTTGGGACACAGCAAAAACAGTGATCAGAGGGCAATTTATAGCAACAGATGCACACATCACAAAAGAAAGAGAATCAGTATCTTAACCCAACATCTCTACCAACTGGAAAAAGAGCAGCAAAAAAAAAAGCCTACAGTCACCAAAACTAAAACCAAACTCACTGACGTTGAGTAGACTCTGACTCATAGCGACCCCTCCTTGGGTTTCTGAGGCAGTATCTTGACAGAAATAGATTGCCCAATCTTCCTATGAGGAGCGGTTGGTGGGTTTGAACCATCAGCCCTCTAGTTAGCAGTCAAATGCCTTAAGCACTATGTCACCAGAAGTAAAGAAATAATAAAAAATTCCAGCAAAAATAAATGAAACAGAAAATAGAAACACAATAGAAAAAATTAACCAGACTAGAAGTTGGTTTTTTGAAGATTATAAAATTGACAAACCACTGGCAAACTTAACAAAGGAAAAGACGGAGAGAATACAAATAACATGAATAAGAAACGAACTGGGTGATGTTACAACAGAACCAAATGAAATAACAAAGACACCAGCAGGATACCATGAAGAACTGTACTCCAATATATTTTAAAATCTAGAAGAAATGGACAGATTTCTAGAAACATACAACTTACCTAAACTAACAAAGATTGAGGTGGAGAATTTGAACAGACCCATAACAAAAGAAGAAATTGAACAGGTCATATAAAAAAATTACCAACAAAAAAAGTCCTGGCCCAGAAGGTTTCACTGGAGAATTCTACTAAATGTTCACAGAAGAA